GGATTCTTCTCTAGAACAAGAGAGATGATCTTCTCCCTTTACAAGTATCAAAATCACAATATCCAAAAGTTCTAAGGTTTCTCCTCTCTCCAAAAGCGTTCTCTGTCTAGGAAAAAATAGAATAGAATATGTCTGAAGGCCACAGGCGGCTGGGGGAAGAAAATAGAAAGATTAGGGCAAATCCCGAAATTAATTAGAACTTTTCATAATATTCGGGAGCAAAGCGGGGTTTGCTCCGCGATAGAGGGAGCAAGCAAGGGGTTGCTCCGCGATGGGTGCTCTGCGATGGAAAACTCTGGTTTTTGCATTCTTTCTTCCATATGCTCCTTCCGGTGCATTCCAACTCGTTCTACACCTGAAATAACTCAAAACACACTAAGAATACTCCAGGAAAGCACAAAAGTGATATGCAAAGTATGTGTGTAATATGTCAAAAACACAACATATCACATCTGCAACGCATACAAGTCGAAAGGTTTCGGTTGAATCTGCGTCAATTCCTCAAAAACCCGGACGCTCATCAAAAGATCCACCTCAGCTGCCATTACCATCAGAGCAACAGCCATCCTAACTACCCCATTCATCAATTGAGACATAGGAACATCTCGACGCGCACAATAAGAAGTAATCAAACGAGGAATGGGAAACCATAGTTTGGCGTCTTTCCCAAAGAAAGACTCATAAACGCAATGAAAACCAAAGGGAGGAGTCCAAGGCCGTTGATCGGGGCGCAGAACGACAAACGTAACACCATAAGCTCTACGACCCCTGAGCAATCGAGCAACTCCCTCTTCAGTGCACCATGACGGCGAGACGTCGCCCCAATCCTGCCCTTCTACCACGGACGGTCGAACTCGGTCTAAGGGAATGTCCGGAAGCTGCTCAACCACCCCATTCCTATGATAGTAATAAGGGATCAATCGTCGAGCGGTGATAGAATCGGCCGGCAATTGGCCGGCATCTCTTTGCCCTGTCGCTCTACCTCCTTCCACAACCGGTCGCCTAGCCCCGTCGACACTAACCGGAGGACGATCGACATCGCTTCCCGCCGAGGAGGCGTCTCCCACCTCCTTCGCATCGTCCTCCTCCGAATCGCCAATCGAGCACCGTCCATCTCCGTCCCCACGAGCGGAGCCGTCCGTCCCTTCCACCCGCGCGAAATCATCACAGGCGGCGTCAGTCGGGACACCGCGGTAAGCCCTAGCCGCCGAGCTCAACAGCTTCGAGCCGAGCGGCGCTTCTCGCGGGGGACTTGGCGCAGATCTGCTCTCTTTCCCTTTCTCAGATAAAGTCAATTTCTCCTTGAGTTCACCCATCGATCGGTCGGCCGGAACAAACCGCCGGAAGAAATAAAAAAAAGTCCCCACCGGAATCAAAGATCCGGCGGCCAGCAACAAAAAAAAAGGAGAAAAGGAAGGTGGAGAAAGAGAGAGGGAGAGAAAGAGAAAAATACCTTGGAATGGAGAGCAATAAAAAATGAGAGGAAGTTATCTCATTTATAAGGGAAGTCACGGGAATCGAGGTAACTAAACGTAATGGGCCTCAAGAAACCCATTAATCTCTGCTGGAGCAGTTATTCTTTTGCTTGGAAGAGGAAGTCTGCAAACGGCACGACTTTCGATTAGGGTCGAACCGCTGATCTCGACGAACAATCGTTCCCGTGGGAACGTGTATTTGACCTCCCGGTCCCCGAAAATCAAACGAAGGATGGGCGTATAAACCGAATTCTCCAAGAAAAGGAGTGACCAAACTTGTGGGAATGCGAACTCGATCGGACTCCAGCCTGTCATTCTCAAAGCTACTCGTTCATACCCCGCTTCCAAGAAACCGAGCTTCTTGTAAACGAACTGCGGGAGGGGGGGGCTTACTGTTGGAGAGGGATTGAACACCCGTCTACAAGGCCCATCGAATAACAGGCTTCAGCCCATTTACGATCGGTTTGACTGAAGTTCGACCGAAATAAAGGATCAAACCGGAAAAATCGAGCGACCAGCTCGTTCGTCCAGGAGCTCAACAAGCCGGTCTACTTGGGTAACCGGTTGATTAGGTCGATTTAAACCGGGTTCCACGAATGATTGCTAGCTCGAAAGCCCATTAAGCGCGAGCTCGATCTTGGGCCGTTAAGACGAGCTTTAGGGCGAACGAAGCAAAAAGAAAAGGACTCGGAGTATAAAAGGACGAGAGGAGAGAAAGAAAAGGGGATCCGCAAATTACTACAAGAACTCTGACGGCAAGGTTTAGGGTTTTACGATCAATTGAACCTCCTTGTAATCTGGTCGGACTTTCATAAAGCTCCGACCTTTGTTCTTTTCTTGAATCTTTCTGTAATCTCCTCTTGATATCAACTCTGATTAATAAAACGCCTTCGAAGAACCCACAAATCGAGTTTAGTTTTCTTGTCAATCGACCGTACAAAACTCAGATTCAACAGATACGTTTCCCATGACCTCTGTTCTCTCAAATGATTGTCGGGCTTTGGTGATGTTTTCTTGCAGTGATTTCTCTTTGTCTTAAGTCATGGACTCACGGATGCTATGAAAAGTGGATACATGCATGTGAGAAATCTCTATAGAACAAAGTTTTTGTTATAAATCTCTTTGTTTTTCTTTTTCTCCATCTTCTGTCAGATCAAATTAACAAAAACAGAACAGTAACCGTTTTAAAACTCACTTCTTTTATGAATTGAGAGAAAATATACAAGATGACCCTTAATTACATATTTTCAATTAATGTATAATAATATAAAAATATTTTGAAGGGTAGAATCTTCTTATTAATACTGTCTGTTTTCTCTGAACCTTTCAATAAATGTATTTAAAATTTTGTTAAGCCAATATTCAAGTTATGGCATACGTGGAAAAATATGTTTAGTTAAAAATATACATATCAAAGAAAATGTGAGGGCTTAGTCAAAAAAAATTGAGAGGGAAAGGAAAACATAAAATGAGAGATGTAGTGATCAATCAAACAGCTCCGGTTAATTTATGTGTGATCAAACAGCTTCGGTTGATTAAAGGTAGGCAATTTAATATTATATAAATATTAAATATACGCTGGATTTTGATTTACAGCACGGAATAATTTTTGGATAAAAACTTCATATAATTGAATTTTCTGTTTGTTTAAAGTATATTTAAACATAAAATTCATAACCCCGAAATCTGATTGAACCCAAACTAAAAAAATTCGATTCGTACTCGGTCCGAAATGTAAAAATAAAATAGTGAATTTTGCATGGTGGTAGAAAATATATTCGAACCCGAAATCTTATTAGTCGAACTTGAAAAGGTTATTCGAAAAACCTGAAAACCGATCCAAACGTACAAATTAATTATAAATATAAATATTTGAAACAGAAATATTTAATTCAAATATTCAGTTCTATATTTATTTTAAAATAGCATCGAACAATAATTATTCAATTTTAAATAACAATCTAATTTATCAAATTCAACATAAATAAATATTTACTTCTTATGTTTTGATATTTAAATTTTGGATTTAGTATTCGAATCAAACTAATTTAACCGAAATCTAAAGGATATATGATTACTCTATAAATTTTAAGATGTGATACAAATTAGAATTAAAACTGCTGTGTTATATCCTAACATGATCCACACTTATAATATGAATTTATATTTTATTTGTTATATTTGTCAAACTTTATTTTATAATATTATTGATTAAATAAATATTTATTATAATATAAGTTAATTATATAGCGTTCAACCCGTATCATATTTGATATATATTTACATTTTTATGGAATAACTACCACTACAAGAAAACACGCCTTTAACGAGGCAGAATTACGAAGGTACTAGGCAAAGAAAGATTCGTTGTAAAGACGAAGTAAAGTTACAAGTACATTACGAGTAATGTTTAACCGTTAAAAGTAAACAAAACGTGTTCTTAAGTAACTACTTTCGTTGTAACATGGTTGTAAAGCATGTACAAATGCCTTGTAAAATCGTAGTAAAAGGTTTCCATGTAAATTTGTTGTTAAATCTTTACCAACCAAGCACGAAAATTTTATATATATATATATATATGTCATTCATAATCACTCCTAAGAACACCACAAACAAAAACAAAAAAAAATCGTAGAAAGAAAAAAAAATTCGTAGAAAAAAAAAATTCGATAACTTATGTACCGATTTTTGAAGAAATTATAATACGTGAACAGTCACCAGACCATTTCTAATCAACTCCTGGTAACTTTTTCGAGAAGTCGATAAATAGATACGAGAAGTTGATGAGAACTGTTCTGGTAACTGTCCACGCATTTTAGGTTCGTCGTAAAGGACAAGTAAATTTACGACGAAAGTACTAGGCAAAAAAAGATTCGTTGTAAAGACGAAGTAAAGTTACAAGTACATTACGAGTAATGTTTAACCGTTAAAAGTAAACAAAACGTATTCTTAAGTAACTACTTTTGTTGTAAATTCGTCGTAAATTTACTATGGCTTTACGACGAATACTGGTAGGTGAACAAGACTTTAATGTGTAACTGATGTCGTTGTAAACATGTTGTAACCTATATGTTAGAGACATGTAATATCCATGTAAATATGTTCCTTGTAAATACGTTGTAAAATTTCACCTACCAATTTTCGTGGATTTGCTATATATATGAGCATTTCTCATTTCATACCACCACACAAAAACAAATAAAAAAAATGTCGGATGGAAGAAATATTTTTGAATTGCGAAGTTGGATGTATACGCATAAAGATTCTGACGGTAGAGTGATGAATGAATTTCTTAGCGGGCTTGAGACGTTCATGAACCAGGCAGCATGTACACCGCTCACGCAGGAAAGTGGTAAGATGATATGTCCTTGTCAGAAATGCAAGAATTCAAAATTTGCTCGTACGGAAACTTTCTGGAAACATTTAGTACACAGAGGTTTTACACAACAGTATTTTATTTGGTTTCAACATGGAAAGGGTTATGGAGGAAATGAAGCTAGTAGTAGTATTAGTAATTTTCGGAATGTCAGTAATAATCAGGGTGTTGAACAGATGGTAGATCATGATAGGGTTCACAACATGATTACTTATGCATTTTTAGAAACTACTACGACAATAGCAGATGAAACTGTTCATGTTGAAGAACCTAATTTGGATGCAAAAAGGTTTTATGAAATGCTAGATGCTGCAAATCAACCAATCTACAATGGTTGTAGAGAAGGTCACTCTAAATTGTCTCTAGCAGCTAGGATGATGAATATTAAAACGGATCATAATTTACCTGAGAACTGCATGAATGCATGAGCGGAGTTCTTTAAAGAGTATTTGCCAGAAGACAACGTGTCAGCTGAATCTTATTACGAGATTCAGAAATTGGTTTATAGTCTTGGGTTGCCATCGGAGATGATAGATGTTTGCATCGACAACTGCATGATCTAGTGGAGAGATGATGAGAAGCTAGAAGAGTGTCGATTCTGAAAGAAGCCACGATTCAAACCGCAAGGACGTGGAAGGAATAGGGTTCCGTACCAAAGAATGTGGTACTTACCAATCAAAGATAGGCTGAAAAGATTATATCAATCTGAGAGGACTGCAGCAGCGATGAGGTGGCATGCTGAACATGTCCAGCCGGATGGCGAGATTGCTCATCCATCAGATGCAAGAGCTTGGAAACATTTTAACAACGTACACCCAGATTTCGCAAGAAATATTAGAAATGTCTATCTTGGATTATGCACAGACGGATTTAGTCTATTTGGAATGTCTGGGAAACAATACTCTTTGTGGCCAGTCATTCTTACGCCGTACAACCTGCCTCCGGAGATGTGTATGGAACAAGAATTTCAATTCTTGACCATATTAATCCCTGGTCCGAAGCATCCAAAGCGGTCCCTAGATGTTTTTCTTCAGCCATTGATACAAGAGTTGAAGGACTTGTGGTCAGAAGGGGTCAGGACATATGATTGTTCCTTGAAAAATAATTTTACGTTGCGAGCAGTACTGCTTTGGACAATAAGTGATTTTCCTGGTTATGGTATGCTTTCTGGTTGGACTACACATGGAAGGTTATCTTGTCCACATTTTCTTGGATCAACAGATGCTTTTCAATTGAAGAATGGTAGGAAGAGTTGTTGGTTTGATTGTCATCGTAGATTTCTTCCCCTTACCCATCCCTACCGAAGAAATAAGACATTGTTTAGGTACAAAAAAGTTGTGAGGGATAGTCCTCCTCCATATCTCACTTGAGAACAGATCCTAGCGCAAATTGATTACTACGGAGCTCAGGAAACTGTTCTCCGTGTAGGAAACTGGCATGTTCCTGGAAATATGCA